GTGTTGCAGAATGGGTCTTTGGTTGTGCATGCATGTTATAATTTTTTGAGGATATTTGGTTTGGTGGATGGAGGTGGGATAGAATTATTCGTGTACACGGAGTTAAGGATAATGTCAATGATTGATCGATGGGGACGTTTGTGGATAAGTTTTCAAAGCTGGATGACTCTAAGATATCTTGATTTTGTACTTTATAGAATTTGGGGTAATTCGTGGGTGAACATGATGGCGTAATTGGTGGGTAAGAATGAGGTAATGATGTCAATAAGGAATTTTGATAGCCAATAGAAAGGGGTTGGGACCTAAGAAATGATTGGTCGTAGAGGGTATTCGGTTTTGTGTATTTTTAGATTTCCGTAATTTGTATCCAGTTTGGTAGTGCCCGGTGAATTTTGGTTTTTTCAGGGAACCGACGTCAGCCTTATTCGCTATTAAAATTTTGTTGAAGGATCATTTTGGGGTCTTCGTGGGGTTTCTGTTTAGTTTGTTCAATTTAGTTTCGTCATCATTTTTATGGTAATCGATTTTGTCCATAATTATATATATTCGCTTTGTCTGATGACAATGTTAGTTTTGTTTCTTCTATCTCATATATATATATATATATATATATATATATATATATATATATATATATATAGGTAAGTATATATATATATATATATATATATATAATATATATATATATATATATATATATATATATATATATATATATATATATATATATCAGTAAATATATATAGTATATATATATATATATATATGTGTGTGTGTGCGTGTGTGTGTGTATGTATGTATGTATGTACAGACAGAGAGAAAGACAGAGGCACAGAACAGCAAAGGAGAGGTTGTATAACAGAAAGAAAAATTTAAGTAAAAAATTTTTGACGTTAATGCAGAATTATTTGTTGGCGGGAGACCGGACAATGCCGTCTCCTAAAAATAAAGCATGAAAATATGGCCATAAAAAGAGAAAGTCAACTCATTTTAGAGAAGTGGCTATTCAGAATTTGGACCCATCCATATTCACCCTCTCTCCTCTACTTATCCATTATTGACTCGACTCAAAAAAAAAAAAAAAATAACGCTTTCGCATTCCTCTGTTATATCCTCATGATTCAGAATTATCCAATCTCTGTTTCTTTTTCTTCCTGTCTGTCTCGTCCACAAAATCTTGAAAAATATTCTATATTTTCGGAAAGCGTCCGGAAGACGCCACCAACATGACATTTCCGATTTCAACGCCTGCACCGTGGAATTTATATTTTTTTAATTCAAGAAAGAAAAGAGAAAAAGAGCACATTTTAAAAATATTTTATTGAGAAGTTTCATCTTCTTCATTTGTCGTTCTGTTTTATTTTATTTTTTGTGTTCTCTCTACTAAGAAGAAAGAGATTTTTAATGAAATAAGCATAATTTCGTTACAAGAGTTTTATTTTCAAGTACTTCATATTTTAATGGTTATGAAACTTTTGGTAACAAAACGTACTCTGTAGGACTTTGACAAGACATATTTCCTTTGAGAATATTAATAAGTTTATAAAGTTTACAAGTTTTACTGAACTCACATTATAAGTCAATTCGTTCAATTCTTCGACAGCATGAGCTAAATTTGGCATGCACACAAATCAAAGTAAAATATATATTTTTAAATAGTTTAACACTGATATATTCTGGCGTTCAAAAGTTTTATGCCAATTACATAAATAATTAAACAGTTTTATTTTATTAAGAAATTCAGATTTGATCAGTAGTGCCTGTGAAGCTTGAGGATTGTAAAATAAGTTATTGCCTTTTCGTTTTAGAAGATAAATTATCGTCTAAATGACGCAAAAATGAAAACAAAGACTTACAAATCATTTTAACAGATATGTTTACCAAAATTACACAAAAATATCAAGAAATACTAAAGTTTAAATTTAATGAATAAAATCACCATTAGCTTCAACCACAGACTCCAGATGTCTTCAGAATCTCCCGCATCTCTCCTGGACGGTCTCCTTCTTTAAGTTGGTGAATGCTCATAATCTTTGACTTCTGTTCATCTTCGTGCTACAAGGAGATTGACTGGGTTCTCCTTCTTTTATGGCATGGTGCAAAATCTTGTTGCCCGACGTAGAATCTGCCAGTAGCTACCCTCTTGACCCAGGGATGCTCTACTATGCTTTTTCCAAATTTCTGGAGGTGTGAATTGCATCATGGTGCTCTTTGTCTCACAGATGGTTCCCAACTGACTCTACTATACTGTGCAGTCAACAAAATCTAAAATAAACAATGCGCTTGCGCGAAATTGAAAATATAAATTAGTGACAATTTACCCATAGGAATTGTTTCATCTTATTAATATGAACATAAGGGGCTTTCGCAAGACATTATTTGTTTAATATGTGATTACATTTTTACACCAAATTTGTGGCTAATAATTCTATTAAATAAAAATGGTGGTCATTGTTTGGAAAGAGAAAAAGACGCAACGAGAGATAACATGGCAGATGGAAATTTCCAAAAAACGTTTTCCCTTCATTCAACAGAGTTTTGCTACTACTGGAAGTGTCGTAAGTGCAAAGATAAGCGTACGCGCACAAAAGTTAGACAATGAAGATGAAGGAAAAATTGTGAGAGTCAGCCAGACAACAGAGGCGTGAATGTAGCCTCAACATTGAGGTTTTATTTGATACAGTACGTAGAGTATTAAGAAAACACAACTTGAACGGGTGTATAGCAGCATTACAACGAGCATTAAGATAAATCATCAGAACAGAAGAATGAAGTGGCTAAAAGGACATATACTACGGGATGCTGGATGATGGTAGTGATGAAGATAAAACAGAGTTACATCCTAACTTTAGATAATATGTAAAAAAAAAAAAAAAACAGTTGTAAAATGAAACAATGCAAAATACGCTATAAGAACGGCACAGTTCAATGTACACGTAATAGTGTGGAGTTGAATGAAAAGAGGCGATAAAAAGAAATTGATAGAAATCTAAACAGCGGAAACAATATTAGTTTACTATGATCTAATATTCTGCCAGACGACAAAGATATTTACCATCATGACGGTGGTCCTCATTGCCACACATCGCGTAAAGGTTTCTTGTGGATGAAGATGCTCAGTTTTTTAGTCACTACAAAGTCTACCACGCCATCTCCAAGATCTTTGGGATTGCTACCAAGAATAGGAAAAATTCCCAATGAGAATATCTTAACCTTCTTTTGGTCAATGCTGCAAATATTCGAGTCAAAGATTATAACACCAATTGTTAACACCACACTTTTACGGTTGATACGTTATGCAATAATAAAGATCACTTTTTTGCAAAAAAATATTCTTAACTTATGAAAAGACCTGAAATATGAAATAGCCTATTATATCTGTATGGGCCTTTTTCAGAATGGCTATGCTTATGACTATTATCCACCTTACAGTATTAACAAAAATGCAGTGACTTTCTTTGATGGCCCTCAATGATCATAAAATATAGCGCAAAAAAAATATTGCTAATCCCGCTCGAATTTAGAAGAAAATTAACAAAAGTAATTAATTATCAAGCTGTAGTTTTTAATTTTGATCAGGGATTTCATACGTAGTACAATTTATCACGAATTTATTTTGTTGGGAGAACCTTTTACAGCACATTTGTTGAAATCCGTTTCGGTTTTGACAGATAAATCGTCATTTTGTTGAAAGTCGGGGTCTTTCTTGATCTCTTCCAATGTTGCTACAGTATGCGGTCTTTAGTTGGAAAAAATAACTACTTCAACTTCTAACATAGAAATGATAGGACGTGGTAATTTTTAAAAAGAAAGTTGACAGAAGAAAAAGGAGAAATAAAATATCTCTGGAAAAGGATCGAAACTTATGAAGGAAAGTTTAACAAATGTAAGTATGGAAGTCGGAAAGGGAATAAAATTAAAATGAGAAAAGGCAGACTAAAGAAACAAAAAAAAACAAAGAAAATATAAAAAGAAAGTTAAAAAAAAGAAGTCGTTTTAGTTAACAAGAATATATTTGTGAATGACATGAATTCTTAGCAAGAATGGTCAGCAAGAAAGAAACTTGGTGAGTGAAAGACTGATTAAATAAGATTCCTATATCTTGAAATAAAAACTTATAGGAGTATTGTCTGCTCTATTCCTTAACAGCATTGACAAGCGCCTTGCTTACAAATACCTGTATCTCTTATGTAACCCCCACATATATATATATATATATATATATATATATATATATATATATATATATATAAATAAAAAAGAACAGTACGATATATCATCCGGTGTTCTTATTGATATTTTTATTTTTACAAAATAGTGATAAATGTAAATTTACAGAGCATTAATATTAATATTAATTACAAAATTAAATTTGAAGCTTTTAGCTTTCATTTTGAAACTTGGTTATTACTGTGTATCGAAAAAACCTATTTTAAATCAGTTAACTTATATATATATATATATATATATATATATATATATATATATATATATATATATATATATATATATATATATATATATATATATATATATATATATATATATATATGGGTTTTACATAAGAGATACAGTCATGTATGGTGATAGTAGTTGTGGCTCCTGGGGGCACAGTCCTATGGTTATAGAGGATCTCCGTTCAGTTTCACCACGAAATATGTGAGCGAGCGGCGCTAAGTTCAGTCTGCTTTGCTACAGTTTCGTCACCGAAGCCCGTTGGAACAGTTGGTATGACGTTTAATTAACAACCTAACTGTCAGGGTTTCAATTCTCGGTAGTGAATGCGCACTGCTGATGAGTCCCAAATAAGAGAGAAAATTACCATGTTGATACATATTCAATTATTCCGAGAACTTGACTTCGACCACGCGACAGAGAGGAGATAAAAGAATACGATTGATTTGAATAAGTATTGCTTCCTTTCAGATCAAAAAGCACCATGAATCACTTAATAGAAAGAACTTAAGGTTCCATTAAGATAACGCTAGATGTTTTCGATTATGTTCAAGAGAATGCCGTTCCGAGTGAGTTGGCTCTCTGTGCCGCGCCAGGAAATTTTTCTCGCCGGTGTCGACCCTTCAAGTCTACAAATCAACCATTCGCCCTTGCATGGAGTATTGCTGCAATATATGGTCTGGAGCCACTTCTGTTTGTCTCAATCTTGATAAAATCCAGAGACGGATATGCAATATAATTGGCCTCCGATCTGGCATCTCGTCTGCAGTCGTTCTCTCACAGACGTGCCATCGCCCCCTCTGTCATTTTTACAAATGCTTTCATGGTAACTGCTCCGATGAGCTGCTTTCGCTGGTTCCCAGACTTCATGAACTTAAGCGTTCAACTAGGCTGGCATCTCGCTCCCATCCTTTCACTGTCGGAACTGTTAAATGTAACCGTCTCTTCTACTCCAATAGCTTCACTTCTCGCCTGTGGAACTCTTTTCCCTCTGCCTGTTTCCTTGATAGCTGTAATCTCCAACTATTCACATGTAATGTCAATCGGCGTCTCCAGATGTCTTGATCTATATTCTAACCTTCCCTTCATCCTTTCTTCTATCTCTACTCTTTGCTCTTGCTCCAACTCTCTGTAACCCCTTGCATGCTAGTGGTTTCCTGTCTTGCTTGGGGTGGGACGCTTAAAAAATATATGAAGGGACATGAAGCAACAGAAATATGGTTCTGCAAAAGAATGGACTGGACATATGAGGAATGACGAATGAATAAATGGATGGCGGAACAAGTTAATGAGAGATAAAAAAAAAAAATGACAAAATTTATTAAAAGCTACAAAACAGGCATTTTTGAATAATTTCTACCCAAGCAAGGACGAGAGGCCACGTGTACGCAGGGGGGTGAGAGAGAGTGAATGTGAATGAAATGATGGTTTTAGGGGAGACCGTAGAAAAGATAAAACTGAACGGTTTTCAAGAAGATAGAGATGGAGATTGACGTTGCATTTAATTTTTTTTCAGATTGTAGATATCAGGGCAGCAAGGAAACGGAAAGGAAGTTCCACAGGTGAGAAGTGCGAGAAACGAAAATGTTGAGTAGAAATGACGTTCACATTTAACTAATTCAACATTAAATGGGTGGGACCTATATTCCAATCTAGTAGCATCCTTAAACTCACGTAGTCCGGACACCCGGGAAAAAAAGAGCAGTAGCCAGGAAAATATTTGTAGAAAAGACAGATGGGAGCTACGTCGCGTCGGTGAGAAAGTAACTGAAGTCGAGATGCCAAGTCAGGATTGATTACATTGAAGATACCTCTTTGGAATTTGTCAAGAACTTCGAGATGATTAGTAGGAAGTACTCAACCAGATATGGTAGCAATATTAAGTGTACATATGAGTGATAGATTTGTAACTTCACAAGATGGACTCTGACGAGAAAAAAAAAAAACTTCTGGCACGACACAGTAACCCAACATTCCTTGCAGCTGATACAGCTATTGATTTGATGTAGTCTTTCTACTTCAATCAGTTGTAAACGTGAGACCAAAAGGCGCAGTGTGTTGCTCTCCATGCGTATAGCATCAGCCATGCTGACGGCAGGCCGAAAGTTTTCTCTATGGTGGCTAAATGAGAGCAGTTTAGTTTTAGAGGCATTCAAATTTACAAACCATTTCCGACCTCAGTTAAGCAGAGTCTTTTCAAAAGCAGCGGCCAGATTAACGTTTTCAGCTCTGACGGATATTCTATTGAGTCAGGATTAAATGGTAGTGTCATCATCATAAATGCCTACTTGGGAACTGATGACATCAGGATGTTCATTGATAAAGATCAAAAACACCGTAGGACCCAAAATTGAAGCGTGCCTATCAGGATTACTGCGAAAACGCGCGGTTACGTCCACCAGTTACATGAGAGATTGAGTGATTGAGAAGTTCAGGGTTTGGATACCAGCAAGGTCAGTGACGGGGTGCTTAAGCCGCCTGGAGTGGTGGACATTAAATTCTCCGAACATAAATAAAAATGAGTGTAGTGAGATGACCTTGTCTGTATTGTCAGAAATAACTTCTGTCACGAAAGGAAGGAGATAGTCACCCACACCCTGAAGTAACATGAGACATATAAGAAAAAGAATCGCTTATGATGCTTTTTATGAGATCTCTTTGAAGTGTTTTCATCCTTACTCACAATTACTACTGATTTGGGGAAGTGAATCGGGCTGATAACTTTTAGATCCCTCTGTATAAATTTTCACCATATTTTATAAATACAAAAATATTATTACTTTCTTTCTATATCGCATTTATCAGAAGCTTTTTAGCCGATCAATCATTCAGTCGTTTAAACTGAACTGCAGGAAATTGGAAGGGAAAATCGATAAACGGAAAAGACGTTGCAAGAGAAAATGGCTAAGAAATGCAAGTCAGAATATTTGCAAAAATGACTAATCATATAAAACACTGAAATGCTAATTTAGGTATCGTCATTTCTTTTTATTAAATTTCGTTAATTATTTTAATTTTATGTCCGAGAAGGTGTCCGCATCCATTCATTTATTAAAGTAAACCCACCCATTTATCCCGACTGACAGTCTTATGGCCTTCATGGTCATTGACAAATATTTAGAAGAGAACTGAATGTACAGCCTTTCGTCTTTCGGCGTTGAGTTTAGTGGGGTTTTTTTTTTGCTAAGCGCCGTATCAAAGTCTATGGGTTATTTACATCTAAATATTTTGTAGGGAATTTTATTTTATTTTTAGGAGATAATAATAGTTTTAATGATACAGGTCTTATTAATTATCCCATAGCTGGAGGAGAAAAATGAATTCATATCATTCTCGTGGGTATTATAGCGTGAATATAATGAACAAACTGTAATTCGAACGTGGTTCTCCGATTAACAATTCCGAGCCTTATCCTTTACACCAAACGCACATCCGAGCTTATAACACCCTTTAATTCCCAAACAGTCAGTCATCTAGGTACTGACTAGGATCGAAGTTGCTTAACTACCGTGATCGTACGGGAAAAGGTGTTTCAACGTGACGTCGCCTTGAACCCAATCGGCAGTGAGATATCCATGATTGTGCTTGTGTATTGTGTAGTAATTAAATTCAAAAGGAATATCCAAGATTTTTCTTAAAACTTGGATATTCTCTAGCACGAAGAGTTCGGATAATTAAGGAGGTTTTCCTAAGTTATTTATTAAGTGGAGTGCGAATAAAAGCTTGATAATTTAAACTGACGCGGTTACCAGTTAAAAGCAATCCATATAATGGAAGGCCTTCAACAAGACGAATGTCTGAAAAAGTCGAATGCCAAATGCAAATAAGCTATTAAGCATGAACAGTTTAGGAGATGATTTAGTGAATCAACAGATTGTCCACTTCCGTATTTTGAATGTATCATGCAGTTTGTCATTCGGTCTGCGTAGAACACATTTGCTTTCTTTTAGCTACAGCTTTTTCCAAATCATATAATTTCTATAGAAACGGAGATTACAAAATGTGACCAAATTCAAGGGAGACACAGGGTAGATGATGACAATCTTGAAAGAGTACAACGAAGTCTAGTTTTAAAAATACTAGAATAAAAACTAGGATAAGTTATGAATCCCCAAAGTGGACTACTTTCAATCCAGTAAGGGAACCTTTCGATAGGTCGGCTATATTTCGTTATTAATTGCTAGATTATATTCCTGGCAGATCACGAATATCTAGTATTTAAAAAGACTTATGTCTTAGAGCTCAAAACAAAAAAAGCAAATAGAATGATATTTCTACTAGTTTGAAAAGGAGAAGTTTCGTATCTGGACTCGAACAATGACAAGAAAAAGCACTCACATATAATAATAGTCCGGTTCCTTTCAGAATAAGGAGAGTAAGGTTACATTCTACTGATCAACAAATTGGAAACAGCTTGCCTCCTTTAAAAATGCTAATTCGAAATTCAACCTTCAAAATCCCAGGACATAATACTGAGCATCAAGTGCCTGATTCAATATCTATTTATGTATCGATTTTGTATCGATTTGTCTATTCAGCTTTGTACATCTATAATTAAATCATTTTAAAGAAATTAATGTCTGACTGTATTTTACATTGTTTTCAGTTAATTGTGCCTTTTCTCAGATTACCTCACAAATTCTTAGTTTTCTGAATCTTTTACTTATTATTATTATTATTATTATTATTATTATTATTATTATTGTTGTTGTTGTTGTTGTTGTTGTTGTTGTCATTATTCCCTTTGATTTCTGGTGTGTACACATTTTTTCCGGGTACTGCCCAGATACCTAATGTCAGAAATGGCATCATGACATTTTCCACTGACCAATTAAAAAACACACACATAATTAAATATTTTCCAGAGATAAAGCCCTTCGTAAAGTGTGGGCTGTACTCGTGAGAACAATTTCTTGTATTTCTTTAAGGCATAGGCTTCAAGGAATCCCTTCAATTAGTCTACTGGAATCTTTTCCAATCAATCCGAGGGATCCGACTACAACAGAGATTGTTGATATTCCATGTGCCACATTTTTGAAATTTCGATTTTATCATTAGTATTGTTATTATTATTATTATTATTATTATTATTGGTGTTTTACTTCTTTAGATTTCTGGTGTATACTCATTTCTTTCGGGTCCCCCCAGAGAACTAAGGTCAGAAATGGCATCATAAAATTTACCACCGAGCAATTGAAAAAAAAAAAGAAATTAAAACACACACACATATTTTACATAGATAAAGCCCTTCGTAAGGTATGGGTTGTACTCCTGCGAAAAAGGTTTGTAATTCTTTAAGGTATGGCTACCAGGAATCCCTTCAATGCGTCTATTGAAATCTTTCCAATTAATCCCAGGGCTCCAACTACAACAGGGATTATTGTTTGCCACTCATTATTTTTTTTTTTATTATTATTATTATTATTATTATTATTATTATTATCCACGTATTTTTTCTGAGGAATCGTATTTTTCATATGTAAAGTCAAAATTTCTGATCATTTCCCTCCATCTCGTTTATCTACTCTTTTTCCTCACTCTCCTTTTTATTATTATTAATATTCTTTATTATTTTTCACTTCATTCTCCTGAAAAGTCTTTCAACTCCATCTCCTTCTTCTCTTTCTTTCCATTCTCCCCCAACTTCTCTTACTTCTCTGGTTTCTTCTTCTTCTTCTTCTTCTTCTTCTTCTTCTTCTTCTTCTTCTTCTTCTTCTTCTTCTTCTATCACTCTACTGAAAAGGTGCGGGCATCATTTTGATATCTATCCATTCATTTAATCCGAAAACATTTCATCATGGAACATTTTAGAAAATGTCAGAAATGACGTAGAGTTCATCTTTTATTTTTTTCGGTATTAATTTATCGCAGATCTGATGTTTTAAAATGAGAAATTTAAATTTTGGAACTATCGTTCATAGTACTTAACTTAACCTGTCTATAAAAGGTAAATAAAAATGTTAAAACATCACAAGAACATGATGTTATTTTTTTTCCTGCCTCCATTTTCGACTTAAGTGCATGGAGGTTCATGTGTGTTTTAATGTGTTTTCGAGGTCATTGCATTTTTTTTATTGATTTCTTTATTTTAAAAATGTCTACCAGAGTTTTAAACCAATAGTTTTATTTATATCTATCTATCTATCTATCTATCTATCTGGTTCTGTTCATTATCTATCTATCTATCTATCTATCTATCTATCTATCTATCTATCTATCTATCTATCTGGTTCTGTTCATTATCTACCTATTTAAATATCTATCCGATTCTGTTCATTATCTATCTAGTTATCTAATTATCTGTGTTCATTATCTATCTATCTATCTATCTATCTATCTATCTATCTATCTATCTATCTATCTATCTATCTCAGTCTATGTATCTATATATCTATCTACATCACTCTGTTATTTATCTATTTTACCCCATTCTCGCACACAAACATATTCTGTCTGTCTGCCTATATTTCTATCTCTCTATCATGATTTGTTGGTATATACTTTCTATTTATTTTTCTTATTGAGTGCTCCGCGATAGTCTGTCTCTTTCAACTACCAATTAATCTTTTAATATTTAAACAAAGCTTCTTATATATTAAATACATACAATCTTCCACATCCAGACATTTTAAGACAGTGTCAATTAGGTAAACTTCTCTGGAAATTTATGTATCCATCTTTGTAATGCACACTATAAACATGTTTTACTTCATTTAAATTTCAACCCTCAAAATCAAGTCCTATACAAGTCAGTTTTTGCGCCAAGACTTCGCCTTTGAGTACCTGTTTAAAGCCAACATCTATATTTTAATTTATTCTTATTTTCCCATCATATTTTATATTAAATTTAGAGGGCGTCATCTGTGGTCTTATCTAATTTTTAATTATATTTTGTATATTTGCGTTTGTCTCTCAAGGTGATATAATGTATGATGTAGAATATAAAATAAAATGAAACCTTACTTAAATTCAGGTGTCTGTGTTTCATAGTAAATGCATCAAATCTGGTCAGGCTTTTGTTTGTAACATTTTGTAGTAATGACATTCACAACGATCGCTTTGAGACAGTTAAATTCTCAGGATATTCACCTCCTTCTCTGGTGTATATACGGCTGGAATAATCCCTTACGTTGATTCTGATATAGCTTATGTTGCAAACGCTTTTACTTAAAAATGTTTGCTTCTAATTTCATTTCGTGGAATTTTATAATGCACCGTGTGCAAGGTGTAATCAAAAAGTATCGGAACTGGTGAACTAAAACTACAACACTTAACAAATCGGCATTTAATCTCCTTTGAAGTAGTCCCGTTCTGTAGCCACACGTTTTATGCAACGTTGTTTATATTGATGAAAGTATTCCTGTAACACTTTCTTGAGCCACTGTCTCGTCGCATTCTTCGAAGTCTTGAAATTTTGTTCCTTTCAAATGCGTTTTGATATTTGGTTGTTGGTTGATTAATTTTGTTTAGCAGCATATCAACACCTCTATGGTTTTATTTTTAATACTGAAATATTTTGTACACAATTTTATAGTTTCAACTGAATATATTTTGAAAGAAATCGTATGCCGTCAACTACAGATAAAATATATTGTTGGTCAATTTGCTATGAAAATTATTGCTGGTCATTTTGCTTTAAAAATGTATTATTGGTAATCTTACTATAAATTGGTATGGTTGGTAATTTTTTATATATAATTTGTTGCTGGTATTTTTATTATAAAATATAATCTTATACTTTCACAGTTTTTTGTTTTGTTTGGTGTTCCTTGTTTCCATAGCAGGGACTATGACAGATACTACCACTCCTTGATTTTTGAAAAGTGGAGGCATTCGCAGGGAAAGCTGGGGAATATGGTGGTTGTCGTACCTGGGAATTGTCGTACTTGGCCCAAAACTGCTACACTAGACTGAGCCATAATGTTCACATGCTTCGACAACATGCTCCACACACAGTGTTTCGACATATTTTTTTTCGAAAAATAGCAAGCACATCTGCGATATCATCACCATCTCTGCTGGTTGCAGGTCTTCCAGAACGTGCGTCTCTGACGACATTTGAAACATTTGAACTACTCTATCACTCGTATCCGTCTCAGGCACTTCCCTCCATGTACTTTCTGCAATTTTGCGTAGGCCTCTGTGCGGATATCAGCAAATATTTGTCAAAGTTTGATACACTTTCTCTGCTCAGATTTATCTGCCACAGTCACTGATGGAACCTCTGTGGTAAGGTGCGACGACAGCACGCCACACACTTTCCTCCAAGCACTGCTATCAACAATGGAAATTTCCACGAAATTTATAACTTAGTATGAATCCGCGACAAAATCTAAGGTCAATCTGTCCCAAGATCTGTTGCTATAGTATCAATAAAGATATTTTTTGTAAGCCATTATATATGATTTATATTATATTTTATAGGCATATAGTAAGTACGAAATAATAAGATCCCTTGCCCACTCCCTTCAAAGTCAGGCGTACTGAGGCAAAAGACGGAAAGAAATTCGTCAGCCTATGTCATATTTTTTTTGGACCAGATATTGGTTGGCGACCTGAGAAAAAGACGGAAAAGGATGCATTCCCGAGTTTCCCGAGTACATGAAGCTCAGCTTTAATTTGTTTGGTTGAAATGATTTATTTCCAAAACATTTGTAAATGCTCCAAACAGCCAGACATCCTAGGCTTTGGGACAGCTGTAAGTCCGTCATATGACGCGCAATGACCCCCCAAAATATTACACATGTACATTCAAGCAGAAGATGGGTCGAAAATTTGCAATGCCTTTAGAATAACTTAGTTATCCAAATGCCATCCGATAGGTAGCATACCTTGTTTCCCTGTCCATTGGAGTAGGATGATGAGGACGTTTAGGCAATTCTTATATAAATTTTAGAATATATCATTTATTGCTGGTGCACTACCGACACGGGATTTTCGGACGAATTCACGGATTTCCTTTCAACCTCTGAATCTTGGGGCCTAGTGATGTCATTCATAGGAGAGATGGAATATCTTTCCAAGCATCAGAATACGTTATCTCAGGTGGTTCTCGAGTTCCTCCTACGGTACGTAGTGTTTGCCGCTGTCAGTGAACAGCTTTTTAGCAAAAGCGTAAGGATTATTATAAAATAATCTCTGAGACTGTCGTTTTTTCACCCGACGTTATCCCTCTGAATGTGTCATCTGTTTAGTCGCTTCTCAATTTCCTATCCCCTCTTGCAGATGCCACACCAAATCTACTCCAGACAAACCTCGTGCAAAATTCTGCAGAAAGTTCTGATCAGCTGGTTAACTTTAGATGTTTCGTAATAATTAATGAGAATCATTGATCGGGATTCGACCAAATAACACTATGATTGCCTTGGGACCACTGCATTATTGGCTTGCTTGAAATTTCTTCGGGGTGCTGACGCTCAGCAATGGGGTCCTGTACACTGTGGATGTAATCCAGATTCATAATCCTATCATTCGATTTACATTCCCCAAAAGGGGGATTCCATTGCCTGCACTAGCGCGCCTTTTAGATAACTAAACCTGGAAAACTGTCGAATTTCTTGACGCAATCACACGTTGTAACCGGTTCTAATTCCATGTCATTATCATTGGAATCAGTCAGACGGTTGATGCATTCTCCATCCCTGCTATAGACACTAAGAGATCCTTGTTCGGTTGTGATATGTACGCGCATGAAAATTGTAATATGTTTTAACAGGGGTTACAGCATCTCAGGATAATAACGGACCCATTCCTTGCCACAAATCGTTGTTTTGACTAAGAATAGATTAAGTTAATCCTACCTGTTAAATTTAGAGAATTTGATGAATATATTACTGAAAAGGGTACAAATAGTTCCACAGACTAAGGTAGATTTAATTTGTTAGGATTGTTTGATTTCCTGTTGTGCCTTTTTATTATTTTTGTCATGTACTTGGTGCAACTGTAGCTGACGTTTATCGTGTTTTTGTTGAGTATCAAGTGGAGAGCGCTTCATGCAATCGAGTGTTTTTGTATGGGTTTAATTACTATTTGTCTGCGTTTCCTTTTTCGGTTTTTGTTGTACGATGGGTTGAACCATATGATTTTTCCCTTCCTGTTGAATTCTTTGTGCTGTGTGGTGTGTATGCGAGTTTTTGCCGTAAAGCTTTTATGGCAGTTTCATAGTCTTTCTTATCTTCGATGAATGTGGTTAAATTTTAAGAATTGTCAAAAAGCCTGCAGTTAATACATTTATATATATATATATATATATATATATATATATATATATATATATATATATACATATATATATATATATATATATAACCATATTCATATATATATATATATACACATATATATATAACCATATTCATATATATATATATATATATATATATATATGTTGAAGCTTAAATAAGCATGGAATAATACAACACAAAATGTACGTTAACAAAATGTATTGAAACAAAGAATAGGTACACAATATTTACAGTTAGTTTGGTATATTCTTGGGAAGACTGTTCCTGCATAATGGGTTGACTAAATCGCAGTCGGGCAGAGTCTCTGGATTCAATTTCTTAATCTCTACTATCTTCCCCGTCTTCTGGTACCAACCCATATTTATATGGTCGGTAGTCCGCTTATGTAAATTAGGTGTATCATACACAACAATATATATAACATATTCATATATATATATATATATATACATATATATATATATATAAAGTTTGAAGGCATATATATATATATATATATATATATATATATATTATAAATAGATAATCATATATTGAAGCAATTAGCAATATTAATACAATTAATGGCGAAATCTCTTCGCTGACAGACTTAATATAAGCATTAAATGACTAAAAATCAACTGAATTATGCGATCCTTATGTATAAAATTGTTGTCAGATGGATCTGGCGTATTTTTACAGCAGCAAGTACTTTCAAGAACTTCATGTCCTCATCATCAGGTTGTAATTTTTTTCTATTAAAATCAAAAATACAACAGATCCATTTGACAACAATTTTATAACTGATGTTATCGTACTGGAGAGAGGAACACGCATTCGGTAACGTTGGAATGTGACTGAAAACTATAGAAAGTTTTGGTTTAAGCTTTGTGAGAGCAATTAAGTAGACGAAACTGTTCAGAGACCATCGAAGTCCCAAGCAATCGTGACCTAATGTTTGAACCAACTGGTTATGTGCAAACAGATGATCATACCAGAAATTATCCCAGAGTAACTTAAGCTTCAGTCAGCATAGTTACAATATAGGCGGGCTCTATGGTCGTTGACCAAACAGAAATGTCACCCGAAAAGAGTCTTCAACAGGGATTGGCTAGCCACACTTAAAGACTGGGGGTCACGGAAATTTGAATAGCGAATCATTACACACGCAAACTTAGACACACACACACACACACACACACACACACACACACACACATATATATATACACACACACATATATATATATACACACACATACACATACACACACACACATATATATATATATATATATATAAAGATTATATACTTATTAAATTATCAAAAGTTGCTATATACATGTGGAAGAGTATTCAGTATGGGAGACAGAATGTTTGTAGATATAGATAGATATTGCCTCAGTCGTGAATCACACACACACACACACACACACACACACACACACACACACACACACACACATATATATATATATATATATATATATATATATATATATATATATATATATATATATATATAGGTATGTGTGTGATAAGATTACGCTTTCAACTTTTCTCTTTCTATCTCCCCTGTATTTCTTGGATCAATAGTTCAAAATCAACGCGCGTATCAACGCCATTAAGCCGTGAGAGATTCTCCAAGTTTTTTTCCGTAAAGGTTCAGTAAGTGTCCTTCAACGAAATGGCCGACCATTTTCAGATCCAGGGAACCTGGTGGCATATTTATACAGCAACCGCGAGAATTTTTTTTTTTTTTTTGTAAAAAATTGCGGGAAAATCTGAATTGTGTCCTTTGGCGTTTTGAACTGTCACCCCCATCTTGTAGTACAGAAAGACGCTGAATCTTTTAAGAAATCATTTGAGTGATGTCCGCGAGATCCAAAGCTGTCGAAACCGACATCGAATTGATGTGCTCGGATCTTCTCTTACTCGCTCAAATAATCCTTCGTTTGTGCACCCTTTTCATCCCGGAGAAAACGTAACGCAAGTTAGCAGATATGGATTCATTGAAATCCCGATGAGAATAAAAATGCTTTGCCTGTCAGTTTCATTCCATGATCAAACTGGCAGAGCCGAACTTTGACTTTGAAAGTGGCTAATCTGCCGTTAAAAATGGAATGCAGGTTCGATTCCTGTCGGAAGCGCAATTTTTCTTTAGTAGGTTTTCTCAATTTAGGCGTTATTTAATTTCCCACAAAAATATCATATTAATAAGAAATAATGTCAGATAGTCTTTCAAAAATGTGTGTGTGTGTGTGTGTGCGTGTGTGTGTGTGTGCCCCTTAAGACATTGCGTTCCGGATCAACACGAATTCATGAATAATTTTATTGGACATACCACTACATGCTTATCAAGAACACTCATGTCAGATGTCTATGAACTTAACTCAATTTGAAATCATTTAACCAAAGCAAGCAGAAATATTTCTCCTCCTGATGATGGCCATTTTGGTCGAAACTGGCCGAGGAATCTAAATGAAATAATAATAAAAAAAAACGAAAGAATATTAATCTACAACCCAGTGTGTCTAAAGATTTTAATTTTCTAATTTTCTATTGTTCAAAAATATATATATATATATATATAAATTATAGTGCTCTTGTTAATAAAAGTATATAATAATTAAGTATATATTAATAAATATACATATTATCCCTCACCGATCTCACAGATAATGTACATACATGATGATTGCCAACTCGTGTCCGAGTACGACCATTACTATATAATCTTTTTGGAGAATATCTATTGATATGCTGAACGAATGTGTCGCTTTAGTCCAGCAAGGATTCTACATATTCTGGCATAAACAGCGCGATGTTTTTTTTTTTTCAGTTTTCTCAACTGTACAGTATAGTAGGATCACTTGGGCAGAGTCTGTGAAAAGAAGAGCACAATGACGCAATTCACTCTGCCAGAAATTTGGAAACAGAATGTCATACTTCTTGGCATTCGCGCCGTAAGCTCCAATACGATAATTTCAGAT